CAGTGAGTCGGTTCATGAACACTCTGAGAGAAGCCAATGGAATCTGAGAGATAAACGCAGTACTAAAGCTGTCATTCTCAACGTCCACATGAATATTAAAATCCCCTACAATAATAACTTTGTCCGTTTTAAGGACTAAAGTTGACAAAAACTCGAATACGACCAGGTGCTCTGCACACTATAACGAAGAGAATTGGTTGCAGTGATTTCCAACTTGGGTGTGAAACACTAAGAACAAGGCTTTCAAATGAGTTATAATTTAGTTTAGGTTTAGAGGTGATTAGTAGGCTAGAGTCAAAGATAGCTGCAACTCCACCTCCTCGGCCTGTGCCTCGAGGAATGTGAGTATTAATATGACTGGGAGGGGTGGATTCATTTTAGGCTAACATATTCTCCATCAACCAGCCAGGTTTCAGTAAGACAAAATAAATCAATATCATAATCTGATATTAGTTTATTTACTAGTACACCTTTAGAAGAGAGAGATCTGATGTTTAAGAGTCCACATTTAACTCTCCTATTCGTTTGCACTATTGCTCTTGTGGTTTTAATTTTTATGAGGTTTTTATGCACAGCTCCTCTTCTGTTTACCTTTTTAAATAATTTCGATGGTCGGGGGACAGACACCGTCACTATAGGATTTTCACTAAGTAACTCCTGAAATGGAGGAGGAGAGAAGTGTGTTAAACTGCGACTCTGCCTCCTGGTCTCTGGGTTGTCATGGATTTGGTCCACTAATAAACTTGGCCAGATTTCTAGAAATGAGAGCTGCTCCTTCCCAAGTGGGATGGATGCTGTCTCTCCGAATCAGACCAGGTCTTCCCCAGAAAGTCTGCCAATGATCAACAAAGCCCACATCGTTTGCTGGACACCACCTCGACAACCAGCAGCGGACGACATGCGGCTATACATGTCATCACTGGTCAGATTTGGCAGGGGTCCAGAGAAAACTACGGTGTTCGACATTGTTTTTGCATATGTACACACCGACTCAACATTAATCTTAGTGACCTCCGTAAGTAGGCAGTAATGACTCCTGGCGTAACCAGGAGTCATTACTGCCGACGTGAATAACAATCTTACTATATTTACGTTTATCCTTAGCCAGCAGTTTCAAATAAGACTCAATGTCGCCCGCTCTAGCCCCAGGGATGCACTTAACTATGGCCGCTGGCTTCGCTACCTGCACGTTTGTCAAAATGGAGCTGCCAATGATCAGAGTTGGTTTCTCAGCGGGTGTGTCGCTGAGTGGGGAAAATCTGTTAGAAACGTGAACAGGTTGGTTTTTATTTTTTATATTGTCAATTGTGTTATTCTTACATAACATTTTTTTTATTACATATTTATATATTTCTACATCTATAAAGCTCCTCCTGATTCTGATTCTTCTGATTACCTACATGTATGAAATTTCTGTGGCACATGTATCATATCCAGACGTACTAAAAAGCCTCTTGGAGCGAGGCCTAAACCCAACAGGAAGTCAGACATTTTGAATTTTCTGGTCATTTTTAGATGATTTGCAGGCTCCGTACTTTGACGAACTACTCCTACAGAATTAGTCTGACCGATTTCAGATTTGTGCTGTGTGGTCTATAGCCATTGACGCTTAAAAGTTGTACAATCGGTAAGCTTTCGTGGAAAGACGTGGCCGTGGTGTGGTGTCGAAAATTGATGATTTGTCATGAAACAGGAAGTTGTACTAACTTCAGTGTACATGCTCACATCTGCACTAAATTTGACATGAGTAGTAAATAAATGTTAGCGTTGCGCGCTCCCACGAAAAACAGTCCCTTCTCTCATGGTTTCAATAGTAAACTGTCATAGGAATGACAATTACCAACAAAAAACATTATATTCTAACCAGAAACATTTAAAAAAAACATAGATTACAAAGTATCTTTTGTATTTCAAGCAAATAATACAAGTTTTTAACAAAACTCCCGTACAAATTCCACTGGAAGCCATGAGAATCTTGCTTCCTCTTGTATTGAATGACTGCGTTGCGGGTGTGTGAGCCTCTGTCTCTCACATGCAGTATCACCTAGTTGTGAGAATGTGCTGTAGAGGCAGGAGGGTGTGTTGAGATTCAGTGTGGATTTTATGTATGCTTTTTCTTAACTGTGGCTAAACTGTTTCAAATGCATGAGTGGTTATTTACTTTATTCGTTCTTGTTTTAAAACTTCTCAGTAACAAATGTTTAAAAATGCGTGTGTGATTATTTTTCGTTCTTCTGTGGCTCTTACGACAATTGCAATAACCTGACTCGTTGTCAGAGAGGAGAGAAGAAACACTTATTTTAGTCCTATAGTTATCTTGGCTCGTTAAGAAACTGCTATGCGATTGCCTATAGTGTAACTGTGGAGGGTATTGCAGGTGTGTGACAGAGGATGGGGGGGTGAGAATAGTGACCGCCTGTCAATAGCCTGACAGCTGTCGACTTGAGATGAATACGTGGCTATTTAGATCCGATGTTGTTATATCCCTTCCTATACTTTAGTCTATACTATATGATAATGTTATCAGGTAGAGGTGAACTAAATGATGGTTTTATTTTCTTCAATCGTGGTTAAATAATAAAGACAATTAAGCTTTCTGAAAGAGTGAAGTAACCTATGGCTCTATCAGAGAGGAGAAAAAGGTATGCTTTTTCTTAACTGTGGCCAAACTGTCTTATAGGCTAGTAAATAATAATAATGACAATTAAACCCAGTAACAAGCTATTTCAAATGCGCAAGTGATTATTTATCGTTCTTGTTTTAAACTCCACCTGTATGGAGGGCGGTAAAGACCTGTGGATGATGCAGAACAGGGGTCTCAATTCTAAAAACATGCCCAGAAACCTCACTAAAAGTGTACGTGCGTCCAAAAGACAAAAAATGGCTTACACCCTTGTAAGCTTGTTCCCTTTATAAATCACAATCAAATTGAAATGTGGTCTATGTGAGGAAGCGCCACGTCTGATCCCTTCAAACGCTTACAACTGTCTATAAATGGTCAGTGGAATTAATATTAATACGTACTGACTGTGGGAAGAAAAGGAGGCAAACTCTGACAGAGGAGCTACAAAACGAGATTTAATTCAGCATGACACTGACGTTCCTTTTGGTGAAGCTGAAGTTGTTTGGTGGGTAAAAAACGCTTTCATGCAACGCTTGTGCACCAGAGGAAAGGGGGCACCGGAGCTCCACGCCCTTTATAACCGATCTGCAGGAACGGGGCATTCCTCCTGATTAGTGACGTCACTGACCAAAGGGGACACACACATACATACACACAAGACGAGATGAAGATGGGTACTTTTTTGGATTCACCCGTTTGAAAAGACCAAAACCAAATTAATTCCACCTGTGTTTAAACATGTATTTAGGTTACACAAACAGTCCACTCACTTAACAACAATGGTGATGAGTTAAAAGAAATAGCCTGTGACTTGTTGTAAACGAGTCCATAACAAACAGAGCATCACATCCACACGCTGGCGCACAGCGTTTGGCTCGATTAGGAAGCAAACATGTGATAACAATACATGAAACTATGCACTAGTATTTGCTTGACTGACGCATTGAAAACGGCATCAATTTAAATGTAATTTGTCCTCCTGTTCACCTTATTTATGAGAATAAATTGTACTGCATACAAGTAATTAATATGATTCCTGATTAAACGGTCCAACACATTTGAGGTGTTCTTTTGCAGAAACAGAATCTCCGATCGTGTTTATTATCCTCAGTCATGGTTCTTTTTGTGCGCCGCAAATTCTCTTAAATTATGTTTTTTTTAATAGCGAACTTCAGGGAGAATCAATCAAACGAGTGTCTGATTATTTAGAAAGGCTTTAAGGCGATACTACTCAGAGGTAATATTTCGATATATTTTACGCAGTTGTAGGACTATTCACTTCAAACAGTTTCATCCTTCTGCCATGTGAGTCGTCGTTTCTCATTTCTCCTCTTTATGTGTGTACACATGGTTCAGAGTTTACTTACAGGATGCACATTTTCAATGTCTTCAACCAGTTTGTTTTTTATAGATCATAACCTTTGCTCGGGAAGTGGCGTTAGTTGTTGTCACCTATATTGTCTGTCCATCCATCCATCATCAACCGCTTATCCTGCGTACAGGGTCGCGGGGAGCTGGAGCCAATCCCAGCTGACATTGGGCAAAAGGCGGCGTACACCCTGGACAGGTCGCCAGTCCATCGTGGGTCCCACCTATATTGTAATAATATTTATTTCTACTTGGTGTATTGTCGTCTTTTGTGTTACTTTCTTAGACCGATCATGTGTTTTGTCTACAACATCTTAATTATTAGCTAGTAAACAAAATACGTCAGATGTGATACGTAAAAAACAGATGTTTAAATGGATTGATGATAAAACTGAGTTTGCATTCTCTAACTGCGACAGCTGTGCTTAACTCTGGGCCAAAGTCTTTTTTCCGGTTTTATCCTGCAACACATGAGCGTCGGACATTAGGATGTGATTTAAGCTGAGATAGATGTCACCCTACTATCCTAACAATAGGAGACAATTTTAAGTATCTGAGAAATAAAAAAGCTTTCCGAGAGTTTAAAACAAGCCCTATATAGAAACTTAGAGCAATTCTAAACCATTTCACATTTCTAGCTAAAAGCATACATCTGGATATTTTTGAAATCTTTATTTCCACTGTTGTCCAAATTTGAATCCACTGCAAGACAGGCACTGCAATATAAATCGTCCACCCCAACCCCCAAGCCAGACTTACGCATAGTAAGTCATTAGGCTTTGCTAGTAGGTCATGAGACATAATACAAAAGCAACCAATAAGAGATGATATGATGTGACATTAGGCAAACAAGTGCAAAGCATTAACCTCAGCATGACCCCATTCCAAGGAGGTTTACACACAGTGGGTACATCTCAAGTCTCTTATTGCATCCACATTTCCCTGACACGCGACAGAGAGAAGAAATGATCACAAAAACATTCAAATACCAACCCCATTTGAACACTACCTGAGTATATGATCGACTTCTGATTGGTCACAGGGGTTTAGGCCCTTCAGGAGGTTGTTCAGAGGTTCATTGATCCACTGGACAGCAGTCATCACATGGTCAGCCCTCACCTGAGTGTTCCAATCCAGTGAAGTCTCTTTAGGCCCAAAGTGGCTGGAGACGACAGCTGAGGACATGCTCTGAACACAAGACGGAAAAACTTCTTCAAAAGGTTAACAAGCTGTTTCCCACAAAATCGTTACAGTTGTTATGAATGACATAGTGGAAAAGCAGAAGCCCCCCTAATTCACAACATCTTCCCAATCTGCAAACAAATACAATTCAATTCAATGTTATTTATATAGCACCAATTCATAACAAAAGTTATCTTATTGCACTTTTTATACAGGTCAATACCGTAATCTTTGAAATGCACACGTTTGCTGCAGAAACAAATCCAAACATTCCACTGTTGTGCTGAATGTTTGGGCTGAAACAAATTAGCATTTTTCACATACTGCTCTACTGACAGTCACCTCCACCTGCCCTGTAGCCAACAATGTGGTTGGAGGGGGAGAACATGAGTTATCTGCAATCTCTGACTCATCTCTCCTCATCCACAGCATGCTTCTCTCTCCACCTCCTTCTCCCTTCTTCTTCACAGAACACTTTTTCCTCTCATTACATATTACTGCTGAAGACTGATAAATTCCAAGCATTATACTATTCTTTCTTTGGATAATTTGCTCAAAGGGGCACACATCACCGATATGCTGCTATATCAAAACCTCCATATGAGTTTAGGGTTAGGGTTTTGCAAAGGACTCCCAGATCTACTTGTCTTTCATTCTAATCATGCTAGTCATGCAACTGAGCAAACTACATGTCTCTGTCAACCATTAAACTTCCTTTAGATAAAGTCACAAAACTCAGCAGTTATTATCATAGGTTCAGACTCTCCAGTTAATTGGATTTCCTAACACTACAGTTCCTTGTTCTACAACATAAAGCATCATTGCATAAAGTCTGTCATTTTTGCTTGTGATTTCTGCTGTCCAATCCTGATTCCTTCATCTTCGTGACATTTTAAAAAAAACATTTTTTTTAAATCTACAAAGCAAAACAGTAATCCATGCTTTTATTACATCCAAATTGGATGAATCATGCACAAGATCTTGTCACACATGAGCCTGAGTGCATCCTGAAATCCTCTGGTAGGTCTTTGTCAGTAGTTCCCAGGTCGAGGCTAAAAATCAGAGGAGATCAGGCATTTGCAGTCAAAAACTGAACCTGCTAGAGGAGATCAGGCAAAACTGCTCTCAAACTTTATATTTGTGATATTTTATATAAAATCTCTCTTTTAAAACTCATTATTTAAGAATAGATTTTTTTCTTTTGAATTAAATTGTGAAATATCATTTATTTGTATTTTAATACATTCTAAAATACATGCGCTATATAGATAAAGTTATAGATAAATTACAATATGCTATTATCTATCATTGGAACTGAGGAACTGGCCTCCTCCCCCTCCTCACAATGACATTATAGAACAAAGTAATACTGTTGGATTAAAGTGTTAATGCATGCCTATTGGCTAGGCCCTAGGTATGCCCACAGTGACCTCGGTTCATGGTGTCACATCTCATCTTTTTGGCTTTTGTGAAATGGCAAGGGTCAAGGGTCATGGTCTGTTTTCTAATTGCTACCTTCATGGTCCCCTTCTTGCCTCCAGCCGCCTCTTTACATCAGAGCCTACTGCATGTTTGAAGAGGCCCCGTTCTGTCATTTCAAACCATCAGCACATCACTAATGAATCACATCTCCTTTGTTAAACCTTTTATGTTGTTAAATTGTTACACTTAATGCATACACTTAAGTTAATCTGTTAAAGTTATATTAAATTAATGCTGATCTTTACAAGTAAGAGTTCTGTCTGTAGCCAAAAAGGCAAAATGTAACTCATGAGGTTTACCTTTTCCTTGTTGCAGATGATGCAGAAGACCTCAGCCTCAGTGGATAGCTGTCCTCTTGCATCATAAACCTCCTTTCCCTTCAGTCTGCTGATTTTTGGTGGTGCAGAGAGGTTTATAAAGTGATTTGCCTAAAGCGAAAAAAAAAATTTAGTACATTTTCTCCTGAACTTTTTAAGATACGTGATTCTCTCAGCTTTTGAGCTGTTCATCACATGCTGTTTTCAGAACTTGTAAGCTTGATTAACAAGCACCAAAAAATAGCACTCTTCACTGATTGGTTACAGAAACTTTTAAACGTATTGGTTATGCAAAACAGAATGAGGGACACATCACTCTACAGAAAGAAGGCATTAAAAGCATCCTTCTGAATGATGTCAAATTAATCATTAAATACGTCAAAGGTGATGCTGTATGTAATTATGTTTTTGATGGGTTTTCACCATTGATTACGTGTGTTGCATATACTGTAGTGTAAAAACAGGCATTTTGATTAGGGCTGAAACGAATCATGATTAAAATTAGTAATCGAATTACTAAAAAGCATTGAAGCAAATTCTATGCATCAGTGCTTCATTTAATCCATACAACTATATAGCGCACTGTTTCGCACGGACATTTATTAAATGTCACACTTCGAGCTTACGCTGTGTGAACATGACGTGATTATGATGGCGCTGTTTGAGAAATTGGAGGAAGAGAGAGAAAATAGCGATGGACGAAGAAGAAAGTGTCCAAAGTATGCTATTATTTCAAGCTAAAAGAAAACAACAACTCTGTAAAGTTACAGTCTGTCCATTGTAAAATGAAATTTATGTCTCCTACCACAACAGCACGACAGCATCTGATCAGAAAGCACCTGGTCTATCATCAAGTCCATGGAGCGGACCACAGTCAAGGTAACAGTAACAGCAACTTTAGCATTTAACTGAAATCATGATTGATTGATTGATGAGTTGAAAGCTAGCAAAAGTAAGCCGCAATCCTCAGCTGTAAATGTGCACACGTGTTTGTCTCCTTCTGGTTGCCGCCAAGCAAAGGTGCTTCTTAAACGATGCATCGACGCATCATCATGAATCGATGAAATAATCTGTAGAACCTTCAAGTACTCTAGTTTTGATGGGTATTAAAATTAGAGCCCGACCAATATGGGATTTTTAAGACCAATTTCGATATTTGAGGACTTTAAAATCCGAAACGCCTGATTTATCAGCTGATATTCTTTTTTTCCCTTCTTTTCAGAAACACAGAAGCTAACATAAACAAAGATTATCTCCTCACCAAGAGTAACAAAAGTACAACAAAATATATTAAAGTTTTAATAAATGAAGGAATTAAAGTAAATTTTGTATTTAAATTATGCATTTTGTGTGGGCCTGCTAAACAGAAACTATAAATAAAAAAACACTAATATACTACTGCTTACAAAAATAATAATACCATATATTACTCATGTCATTACCAATATTTTATTACATTATAATGGGAAACACTCTCCTACATAGGTAGTCTATTTTTTGACATGCACATAATCTGCCACAATGACTATTTTAAATGTAGCATATTCACATCTAGTTTACCGGCACGCTTTAATCCTATCCAAAACTCCAAGAATTTTTTAACCACCGTCTATGATACAGTGACTCTGAGGAAACAACGCTCTTGAATGGATCTAACACTAAATTACTGTCTACAACGAGGACTTTCAACTTTGAGACTTCACAGCTTTGTGGGGAATCTAATCTATCTCTCTCTCCGTTCCTCTTTCTGCGTGCTTCGGTTGACTCCGGTTAAGGCTCGAGCAGACTACACAACTTTCAGCGTCGGCCGATCGCCGTGCTGTTCAAACTACACAACTTGCCGTCTTTTGACAGGAGTCTTGAAGTCATTGTGGCGTGACAACGGCTGTGTCACCCGATGGCTGGTCTCCAAACCACGTTTTGTCAAGAAAACACACGTGAAATGTGAAACAGGAAATGATCCCGACAAACCTACACATGTAACAGCTGTTGTTTGTTATAAAGATAGCAATTTTAAAGACAAAGAATCTGGGTGTCATTTACACTGGGGACGCTGGGGACATGTCCCCACAGCCTTTTTGAAATGGCTGATTTTGTCCCCACCACTTTTTAAAGCATCATTTGTTTTAAAAAAACATTCTGAACTATAGCTTGCAGTTAAATAACAAATGAAAATGCTTTAACAAAGGTTTATTTGCACATTAAGAAACATGCAATGCAATAAAAATATAGAAGAAACAAATGTGCGTTGTCCAAAAAAAGTAACTTAAGCAGAAAAACAAGCTACTGATTATAAAATGACCTAAAAACATGCAAGCAGCAATCATATATTTTAACTTCTTGACACAGTTTCTTTTTGGACAAGTTTTCTGTTGTCTCCCTTTGAACATGACAAAAGAGTGAAGACTAAATCATGCCTGCATATGTGTTGCCACATCTTCCTATTAACACGCTTTTAATCCAGGAGAAAGTGAAAGACAACAAGCCTGACTGGTTAGCTGTACACCAGGAGCACCTCCAGGATGCACGTGCAAGAGCAAAGGAGTGTGCGGAGCGGAAGGCGGCGGAAAGAGTAGCACTACAGCTGGAGAAGGTTTACTGTTCGCCTATCGACGTGAGACAATTGGTGTACCTCCGCCATTGTCCACCAGGAAGGAATAAGATCCAGGATGCCTGGGCAGCTGCAGTGTACAAAGTTGTTGAGGTGCAGGGGACTACATATACAGTGGTGCCACTGGAGGGAGGGCCGATGAAGAGAGTGCTTAGGTCTAACTTGCAGCAGTGTGCAGGGCCAGTACCAGCGCCACGGCAGCGTCCCCAAGCAGCTTCCACTGAGAACAGACCTACCCTGAGTTTGGGATTGGAAACTGCGTCAGAGGATCCAGAGTCTGTGTTGGTGGGGAAAGTCAGGTGTCCGGCAGCTGAAGCACTGACAAGCCATGGACCCATCTGAGTGATGTGACTGAGGATGCACGCTAACAGGAAATAAATGACATATCGGATTATGATGACTTGGAAGCAGAGGCCTTGCCAGACCCACATCCCTCAACCAGCACAGGGTCCCGTGCCTGCTCCAAGGATAAGAAAAGAGGGAAATGTCAGGGTAGACACACCCATTCCCCTTCCGTGCAGAAGCCAGAAAACAACAGCAGAGATGAACAAAAACCCATTTAGTTAAATAGTGTTATATGGGTTATAATGTTATGTAATTGCTGGTGGGATTTCTGCAGCGATAACGTTCCTCTCTATTTAATGGCACTGTCACTTTAAGAGTACTGCATGGGACGGACTGCACAAGAGGGTAGAGTTTCCGAAAAACCGGAAGTGTCGGGCCCCGCGGTGTACAGAAACGGCGAGGGATGTACTTGGGTTATCGAAACGGAGGATATCTCCATAAACAATGGTAAATGGTTGCTCTTGGTGGGAACTGTTGGGCTTCTGTAAATATCATCACAGAGTACGGTCTAGACCTGCTCTTTTATGAAAAGCGCTGTGAGATAACTGTTGTTGTGATTTGGCGCTATATAAATAAAATTTAATTGAATTGAATTAAAGTACATTAATAATCCTTGAGATCGGCAGACTGAAGAGTGAACTAGCTAGCGGACCAAGGTGCATGAAGACCTGGGTGACCCAGCTGATTCCTGACGGTTGATAGACGAGTGAGTGTGTGTGTGTGTGTGTGTGTATATCTTCACCACGGGGGGAGACTCTGACCAGCAGCAATAGCATGAGTGACAACAGAGTAAAAACAAAATCACATATATTAGTGTAGACTGACACTGTAAATAAAGAATGTTTATTTCTTACTTTTCCACTGACTTAGAGGGGAGATAGTAGGGGTGTGGACTTGGACTTGGATTAACAAATGTCAATAATCGATTATCTAGAGGTTAATTGATAACGTAATGTTGACGGAACACAAAAGGCGGAACTCGGAAATGTGGAAGTGCAGCTCCAGACCATCTGTGCGGTGCACACAAGGGAGACATGTGGTTCAGACAAGCAGCTGTTGAGTGAGTGACTGCTGCTACTAAAATTTAACATGACCAATAAAGTCAATGTGTAAATCACGTCATTTTCACCCGCACAGTAGCGCTTAGCGAGCATCCTCTGCTCATTCTTCAAATAGTAGAAAAACTGTTTAAAACAGAGTGTTTTGAACAGAGAGATATTTGAGGTTTTGGCTCACTGGGATTTCTTTTTAATACTTTTACCTCATTATTTGAAGCTTTGGTCATGTTTAACAGGAACATCTGACATTGTAACATTATAGAAATGCCAGAAAATAGGAGAAAGTATAAAAGGTCCCCTTTAACAAGTTAACTTAATTTCACTAGCAAGGACCACGCCACAGCAAATCATTTAAAGTAGACAATGCCATCGTCCATCGCCAACGGTTCCGTCTCAGACGTGTTTTCATCTGAGTTTATTATGGCTCCCGAAAAGAGTCTGATTATATTGAGCTGAGGTGAGCGTTGGAGATTTCTCAGCTGCAGAGCTAGTTTAATGTTTACTGGTACCTACTGGATACAAATCTGATTCTGGGGCCAAGTATCTGAATTTCTTAAACAGGAAACGATACACCGAAGCAGCGATGCTGTTGTGGTAGCCTGGAATGTGAACTGCCCTAAGAATGAACTGGTGTTGAGCTGAGATAAATATGAGTCTTCAAAGGAACTCTGTGATGACTGGAGAACAAGATTGACCTTTGTTTTAGAGCTACGACTGCAGTTTTATCAGAGTGGATGAGTATGGACTTCCTAGACCATTCATTCATGGGTATAGTTTGTGAAGTGCTGACGGAGGAGATGGGGGAGACAAAGGAGAGTCGTCCCAGAAGAAGGAAATGCCATTCCAAGACGCATCTGGTGCATCTGTCTGCTGGGAGATAGTTCGACAGAAGCAGTGTGTCACAAACGAGGTCAGGGAATGTGACAGAGTACACTAGGGCTGCAGCTAACGATGATTTTAGTATTCAAAGCTTCTATAGATTATTTCAACGATTCATCAATGCGTCGTTTAAGAAGTACTTTTGCTAAAACACACGTGAAATGTGAAACGGGAAATGAGCGATCCTGCACACGAAACAGCTGTTATTATAAAGATGG